TATATATATATATATGTATATATATTTTATTCTGTATTGTTTTGCGATCTGTCTACTTGGGGAGCTTAGAGTATAACAATTGAATTTTAGTTAAAAACATGACTTTCAAGATAAAATAATTTTCTAATTTTAAAATAAAAAAATAAATTCAAAGATTTAAATATAATTTTTAATTTAAAATAAACAATTTATTTTTAATAAAAGGAAGATTTAAAATTAAATAATTAAATTTTATTATAGTAACATTATATTATTAATTTAATAATTCATTTACTTTTTTTATAATTTTCTAGAGGGATAATGTAGGAATATTTTTTCAAAAAATAATTTTATAAATTGCCCCGAAACTCAAAATAATTACCGAACTCCCGCCCTAAACCTCACCCAATAGGGAAAGGAAGGTTTTTTGGGGTTTAGGAATTATGCCACTTCACTCTCACTCTGCGACTGTGTAGGGTTTTAGACACTCCATAATCGCATTCTCTCTTACTCTTTCTCGCTCTCTGTATGTCTCTCCAGGTTACCTCTCTACCTCAATTCTGCTTCTGGTTTCTTCATTTCTTGGCATTTTGTCTCTATAAATACTTTTTTTTTTCGCTTTTGATTTCTGTCTCGCTTTCTTTGTTGTTTTTCGTTTTTGCTTATTTAATTTGCTGTTGTGGGCTATGAATGTCGGAAATGGTTCGTTTTACAGTGTTTTTGAGTGTAATCTTGCTGTGGATAATATTAATGGTTCTAAAATTAATCTGTCCAAATCACTCGGCTTTATTTCTGATCAGTGCTTGTCTCTCAGCTATTCCTTTTGGGTACTTCAGAGATTATGAATGCATTAATGGATGATGGAAAGAGATCTAGTTATTGCAGGAGAAAGGACTGTTTAACCTGAGAATATAGGCAGAGGAGTGATATATGAGAGTGAATTTTCATAACTCGAGGTTTTGGACATCCAAAAACGCGACTTGTGAGTTGGTCGTGCTTACTCTAGAGACTGTTAGCGGTTGATGGGAAAATTTTAACTGTTTTGGGGTTAAAATAATTCATAAAGTAAAAAATATGAAATTTTGTTGCCCTTTGGTATTCTAACCAACACTCTGATGCAATCAACAGGCAGTTTAGGGCAATTCTTGTTCGTCATATATGGACAGCTGACTCTTCTATCTAGCTGTTGTAGGATGGGACTCTTCATATGTTCTTTGGTCTTAAAAGCAGATGAAGCACTATACCATTTCATATAAATGCATATGTGTATGTTTCAATAGTTATCAATAATATATAAGTGTATGTTGTTTCATATACCATGACTATACAGCATACCTAGAACTACAAGCTAATGACATGCTTGGTTCATCGTTAAAAAATATAGTTGGTGCTTTTGAGTTCTTTAGGCTGCAAATATATACTACACTTTTCCGTAGCACTACAACATGGGATGCAAAGTGTTACAAGCTTCTCTCGTGATTTTTAATTCAAACAACACCCATATTCAACATGGCCGTGGGTCTTTTTTACTCTGATACCATATCTAAAACCACCAGCCCGCCATAGGCTAGATCAATCAGTCAAAAGTGCTAGCTGTTGATAATTTCAAGGTCTTTAAATGATAAATATTTGCCTTACTATCCCCTACAGCACTACCTAATGTGGGATGTGATCTGTTCTGAACTCCTCCAGTTAAATGGACCATGGTCTTGTGGTTCCAAACAAACAAAACCATACATGAAAGCATATCCAATTTAAACATAACCTGTATATCCAAAATGGCTGTAGATTTGGATCCGCTTTGATGTCCTTAGTAAAACCACAAACGGATTACAGGTTGAATCCATTGGTGAAAAGGCTAGTTGTTGACACTAGTGCAGTCTTTAGGTCACAAGTATATGCTGAGCTTTCGCCAATAGCACTACCGATGTTGGATGTAAGACGTTGCAGTATACCTGCTATTACTTTGTTCCCTCTGGGATGTAATTAGATTCTGGATCTGTCTTCTCGTTGGATGGAGTACAATTTTGGGTTTCTTAAAGATGCTAAGTGGAATACACCCAATTACTGATTGATTAATTTGAGCTGAACATATTTTTCTAATAGATACTATCGTTTTATTTTGGTTCGGAAACATGTTGTTCTCAATGCTAAGATGCGGTAAACTTTCTTAACAGCATGCAGGTGTTGAAAGGTAGCTGGATTGGGCAAACTTCTGTTATAGCCAAGGCCAATGAGTCTGGAGGGAAGAAGACTCGTATTCGTCGCTCAAAAGAGGAGAGGAAGGAAATGGTGGAATCTTTTATAAAGAAGTAATGACATTACAATTCATCAGTTTACCTTACTGTTAAATATAGTTTCTATAATCTGACAATAAATGGCAGCAACTTTGCTTTAAACCTACTTTTCTTCATGGCTCTGTCAAATGATTTGGGCACTGCTTGTTTAGTAGTGCAAATAGCTTACCTAGGGATATTTGCATAATTGGTGACATGTGGGCCATTATGGCTCTCTATATGAGTAGGCTAAGAGAATGCATGTTTATATGTAAGATGACTGTCATCCAGTTGCGTGTAGGTTAATTTAGATTGTTTGACATTATAAACAATATCTTGAAATATTCAAATATAGATTCAAGCTCGAAGGATAATAATCTTTTAAAGAAGTTCTTTTTTTTCCTCTTTCTAACGTTTTAATTTTTAATTTTCAACGTACTTTAATAATGTTATAAGAAGTTGGTATTGAATGGCAATTGTAGACAGACCTAACCATAGAAGGTTGAAACAAATGGAATTATGTAATGATCCTTTGCCATTGTTTTTGTTGTTGGCTACACTTCTTTATGACTCCTATTCAAAAAAAATAAATAAATAAATAAATCTGTATGTCTCAAAATGTCCAATTCATCACAAGAGTCTATGTTTCTTTACCATCTACTTGAAGTCATAATATTAATTTTCTGATTGATGTTCGCCAAATAGAAATATCTGTCACATTTTCTCAGAAAAGTTGCTATATGCAACCATGATATGCCGTTCATTTATTTTACTTCATAAACTCGCTTCCAGATTTCAAAGGCAGAATGATGGGAATTTTCCATCTCTTAGTCTCACACACAAGGAAGTTGGTGGATCTTTTTATACTGTTCGAGAGATTGTCCGCGAGATAATTCAAGAAAATAGAGTGCTTGGTCCTGCTAAGTTGACTCTTGAGGAGCAGAAAACTAATGAGCTGGTGGAACAATCTCCACTTGGTTCAATTTCCACAGGACCTCATGAC